AATAATTTTTTTAATGTTTGCAGTATAATTTGATACAGCCAATCGAATACAATTATCCAAATGTTCATCTGTAAGTCGATTGCGATATTTGTTCTTAATAAACTTCATATTGGAAAAAGAAGATTCACACAAATAGGTTGAACTGAATAATGCTTTCACTTTCAAGGCAACACGGCATAGAACTGAATATTTGTCTTTACTTACAATAGGCCAGATACATTTGGTAATTGAGACTAACGATTTTAAGGATAAATCATTTTGAAACTCAATTACTTCCATTTCTGTTGCAGCGATGTCTTCGCCAAAGTTCTGCATAACACAAGTTGCAAACTGTTGGATATCAATTTCCATAAAGGGTGAAACAACAAACTGCGCTACTAAAGCCATTTCGTTGAAATTCTTAAAACGATTTTTGAAGTTATTCTTCAGGGTAGAAACTATTTCTACATGATATTTGCTGTCATAGGGTTCTAATGGATTTTGAGATATTTTTTCTGAAAGAATAGGAAAATGCTTGGCATCGCTGTTAATTAGGTTTTGTTTCCAAAACTCCAGCTTTTTGATAAATGCTTTTATATCAAAAATCATTTCCGCTAGTTCTTTGTCTCTCCCCTGAAGCTGCAAATTAAGTTCGTTTAATTTCTCTGTAATGTTCACGAGAAAACCAAAATCTCTAAGCCAGATTGAATTTTCTAATTCCGGAGTCGGTTCATCGCGTTGTTTAAGAAATTGAACTATGCCAGATAGGACATTATTAAAACGTTTCAGCACCCGTCCTCTACTTAACCATCGGACTTCAGAATGAAGGAGTAGGTCCCCGTATTGACAGTCAACTTGATCGGCCAAGGTTTTGAATAATCTTCTTTGTAACGCTTGAGCTCTAATCTTGTTCACAATTTTTACCACCAGTTTCATAACGTTGTTTAGTTTCAGGAAACCCACCATAGCTGGAGCGCCTACCATTTTCGATATTGGAATTTTCTCGGAGGAAATAATATTTTTTAAATGAGAGAACAACTCCTGTCCAGTAGTGTGTCCTTTCAGTGGAATAAACTTCAAAAGATCTTCTTTAATCGTAAAATCACTAAAAACCGTCCTGACGAACACGGCCATCTGGGCAGTGTCAACGACATCTGTTGATTCATCCAGTTGAAGAGAAAAATAAACACAGTTATCTAAGTCAGTTCTTAACTGTAAAAAAATATCATTGCTCATTACTTCTACACGTCTCATCACTGTATTAGCAGAAAGTTGCATAGGTTTTATAGCTGAAACTATCTCGTCTTTAATTCTAAAGTTGGCATATAACGAATCAGCAGCTTCTAACGCCTGTTTTATCATTTCCCCGTCTTCATAAGATTTCTTTTTTGTGCAATTATCTGGGACACACGGTACGATGCTTCAGTTGCAGCCTTATTTTTGTCGACTGTTCTTAAAAATATTGATTGTTGTCCAATTAACTGCTTTTTTAACTGTTTCAGTTTCTCCTTTCTGGCGGCAGAATGTAGTGGGAATGATTTTTCAAAATTAGAATGTACAGTTTTATGATATCTCTCAATATTTCCTTTTTTAGCAACGAAGACCGAAGTATTACATAACAAACACACATTTTTATCTTTAACTTCTGTAAAAAAGTATTGTTCTTCCCATTCAGAATGAAAGTGGTATGTCTTTACCTTCTTACAACTGCTTGCCATAATATTATTTTTTGTTGTTCTTTACTAACTTAACCGCTGGACGTTGGTTACGCGTTCAGGTTTAAACTAAGCGCAATGTCGGCGCGCCGTGCGTATTTATTCCGTTCAAAGCAATCCTGATCGTTCTCGAACACTAACGCGCTGGTTCGGCTGGTCGGTTCTAGTCGATTCTAGCTTGATGGCGTCAGCAGCAGATCGCTCACCGCAACGTTGCCGCTGTTTATGTTTAATATTGTAACCTACAAAATGAACTTGGTGATTCCACCAAAATTTTTTAAACAAAAAAAAAATTATTAAAGTATTAACTACAATTAAAAATGTTGTCTACTACGGTTACACAAGTTTCGGTTGTTCCGGTGTCAACCTTCGGGCCTTCGACGTCGCTCAGACGGCAGCTAGGGGGTGGATAGCTTACAAAAATTCCGGAAATAGTAGACAAATAAATAGGCGCCAACTGGGTCTATATAGTGGCCAAACTATGATCCTATTTCCCCAAAAACCCAGTAAATGAGGAAAGAAATAAAAGACAAACCTCAACTTATGTTCCTTTATAAAGAAAAAAAAAATATTTAGTAAATATACAAACTAATTACCTGATGGCTTAGATAATAAAAAAAAAGTTGGAGGAAATTAAAAGGAAAAACTTACACAGTGTATGTATATGCATAACCCAAAAAAATTAATAAATGTATCAAAGTATGGAACGGTTCGTCGTTAGCTTGGTACCAGGCATGACGCTTGCGCAAAACATTAATTTCCACCTTACATAAAAAAAAATATAATATAATAGTTAACTTAAATATTGTGCATCACCGTACCTATACTACTTCATATATTATAAAAACAGTAAACTTATAATCTTTATAATCTTATAACCCTCTCCAAATTGGAAGGCGATATCTGCTTAACTTTTGGTTAAGACCAAACTACCCAAAAGAAAATTATTAAACCATGAAATTTTATAATTAAGCATAATTCATAGAACTAAATAAAAATATCAAAAAAAATAATAAAAATACAACATATAAAGGACTTTAGACAGAGGTTATTTAATTAAACTCCCAGATTGGAAGAGGTTACTTAATCTCTGCCCCCACACGGGTCTTCTGAGATTGCTTAACTTAATCGTTAAGTCTGGACCATTTAATAATGAATAAATTAAAAAAAGTAAAATTATGGCAGTAGCCCTTAATAACTGAAGAATTACAACTTAAATGTGGAAGCAGTCCAAGTGTTCTGCGACCCGAAGGATTACTACATCAGCATTAAGTGCTTAAATTAAGTAAAACTTTAAAATATTAATCAATTAAACGATGTAACATTTGATAATACTTAAGTTATGAGTGAAAGAACCCTAGAACATTTTGTGCTCAAAAGTATAAATAATGTTGAGAATACCTTGACAACATTCGGTTGAAAGTGAATGTATAGTTTAACAATGCACACATGAAACCTTCAGTATAAAGTATAAAAAAAACCTGATAGTAGGGTGTCTTCTTTCACAGCATTCCCATCTTCCTATCCAGAACAAGAAACATTCTTGTAAATCTAGCTACAAGTAAACTAGGTGGCTAGCATACCAATGTTCTGTGTCCCCTCGATGAGTCCACGATGAAACCGTTGAACTCCGGACGATATAACCCTCTGTGTACAACTGTTGAAATCCTGGGTCAACAATCCCTTGGGTCAAACTGTCGTCGAATCCTGGGCTAACAACCCCCTGGGTTAAACCCTTAAAATATTACAAAGAAAAATGTCAATACACATTGACTCAAGTATCCCGAACTATAGGATTACCCAAAAATGTACATAAACTAGAAAATATTCAGTATCTAGGATAAAGAAAAAACTACATTGGCTCAACAGTGAGTCATAAACAGTATTATGAGCTCCAATAATTAAAATTCTGTTACACATGGTTGGTAACATAACCTAATATATACAAAACATACCTTTTTCGTAAAGGGTTAACTTGGTAGCCTTTCAAGGATGAGAACCACGTGAGATGATTCACAGTACAACAATATTCCACACTCCAAATGCTGTGAACTCCCGATTATTGCGTTAAAATCCTATATTAGATATGGGCTGGACCAATGACCATGGGAATTTACCAATTCACTAAAATTCCTCTCAAAATACGAAATGTCCATTTACCCACAATTAACCATGAAATAGAATCTAAAATCCCCTTTAATTAGGGTAAGCCGATGGGGCTAAATATTAAGAAAATTCTATTTCGACACAAAAATCGTCTCTCGTGACTGAATACCCACTGACAGAAAAAAACAATACGTCAGCCGTCCAAAATGGCCGAAATCCCTTTCCGATAAATGTCAAGTGGGTTCAGAAATTCATCCTCAAGAATTCCCCACTATATAACTTAACAGACCATTTACGAAAGGTACCCTAAAAACTATATTTATATACAGTATAACTACATTTGGGAAACTGTTCCCAACAAAAATTAATAAACAGCGATCGCAAAAAAATCCCTCACGACTTAAAATCGCTCATTGTGAAACTACCTTACCTCGGGTTCTGAGCCCGATATTGGAACGTACTACAAACATGACACTTGTCGGTGTTCTGTCGTCAAATGACGTTTATGTCATTCACTGTCATACTTAAAAAACATTAACCTAACCTGACATCTGTAACAAAATAAACAAAGAAAATCTTAAAGAATGGTATCGTAAATAATTAATTACCCAAAGGTGAGACTATAATACATAATATATATAAATCTACAACGAAACTTGGTCTATTTTTAGGAGAGTCTGGCAAATTAAAACAGGGAACACTACACCGCAAATATGACCAATGTACAAAGTATTATACTAGTGGTGAGCTACCATCCTTTTACTTAGTGGTGAGATGAAATAAATTGTAATAATGATACCCGAAAGTTAGGATACAGATGAAATTAGTTAATGACAAAAATAATAGTGATATCATCAATACGATTTTAACCTTTTTTTTCGTATGATTAACCAGGTAAGCCAAAACAATTTTATTAATTCGTGGGGCCAAAAATGAACGTTACAATATTATGACAATTAGATTTTTTTATGGAATTTTCGGAAGCTTCTCTGATTTTTGCAGTTTGTATTTTTTAAATTAAAATCGTTGTGAGAGCTACCAGAATTGCCTCCGCGAGCTACCGGTAGTTCGCGATCGACAGGTTGGCGACCACTGGTCTACACCTAGATAAAGATGTTAAGGAAATTGATTGGTAGCTAAACTACGGATGAGTGGTTATTCGGCGATAATCTGGGAGAACGAGTAAAAGCTTCTAGAGCTATGAAGAAATCAGGAAATGAGCTAAAACAGCACAAGCCTTTTAAACTCCAAGCGGCCGTTCAAGCGAGTTCAACGAGTGGGCGGTCTCACACACTCAACGCCATACAGGTTCCAGAATCGATCATCACAAAAAAATTATCGCGAAAAGTATCAAAGAAGATTTCAAACAGGAAGAGGAAGGAAAGAGGAAAGAGGAGAGAAAGGAATAATGGAAGAAGCGACTATATTTCGAGGCAGGTCACCTCTCTAAATTTGTTGGCGAATGGAAAAAACATATGCCAAGATAAGAGAATTTTATCCTGGTTAAAGGGATATAAATTACCTTTTATACAAAAACCTAAGCAGAAATACCCTCTAGTTTCCAAAGAGTTGTCAAATTCAGAAAAATCGCAAATTAGGTCTGAGATTAACCATATTTTAGAAATCAAAGTCATTAAGGAATGCCTATCTAGTAATATCAAGATTTGCTCTCCGACTAATATATAGTGATATGTGGGTTAAGTGTTCTCTACAGTTTGTTGTATTTTCTTGTGGTCAAAAGTCACTTTTGAATCGTAAGTAATACTAATCATAGTTATAAGGTTAGTACCTACAACATTCTATGTGGATAGTTCTTATAAATAAACAATTACTTAAATATTTGGCATCGTATATAAACCTTAAGTGCTTCAACTGGATTTAACCTTATCGGTTTTGCACAAAAAATACTATCAACATTGTTTCAACTTTTAATAGTTCGGGAGCCTAATGTTACATTTTCAATGACGTCTCCACGAATTCAAATAAATTGGTCAAAATAATTTTAAAAAATGAGCAACTCGGGTGATGCATGTAGCAAATGTAAACTGTCTAAAAATGAAGGTCTGGTTGGATGTGAAGGCGCTTGTAATAAATGGTTCCATTACTTTTGCGTAGGATTTTCTAACGTTGAGTTTTCCTTGTTCACAAAGAGTAAGAACCTCTTTTTTCTCTGTGATACTTGTAGAAGAAAGTGTGCAATTACAGAAAATACTAGTGTAAAAGAACATGCTGATAATTTATCGTCCCTACAACAGAATATTTCAAATATAAAAGACCTTATTGAAAATGGTGTTAAATCTAAAGCTGCTGAAATTCAATCTTGGATAGATACGTTTAAAACTAATCTGTTGACACTCATTAAAAATGAAATTGTTTCCGTTAGGTCTAATCAAATGACAGCATGTAGTAATTCCGTTATTCATTCCTCGGATGCCCCGTCTTACTCTGTAGCAGTCCAGCAACAACCCTCTCTGATTATTAAACCGAAGACTAAACACACCACTGTTGATACAAAGAATGATATGTTAGCTAATATAAATCCCATAAATTCTAATGTTGCAATCACTAAAGTTAAAAATACACGTGATGGGGGTCTTATAATTAGCTGTGAAAATTCTGGTGAAAGATCTTGCTACAGTGAAACTTGCTACTAATTACAACATAAAAGAAATTCCCATTCTTAATCCTCGTTTCAAGATAGTTGGTATGTCTGAGAATTTAAATGAAGCTGATTTGTTACACTATTTGAGCTCCCAAAACAGTGACTTAACTACTCATGACAATTCTTTGAAATTTATTAGTGTGGTTCCGTTAAAGAAGAATAATAAATTATTTCAAGCTATAGTTCAGTGTTCCTCTCACACTTACAAAAAAGTGATGGATCAAGGCAAAGTTTATATACAAAAAGGTAAATCAAACAAGGGTGGTCCTTAGGATCTCACAAGAGTATTTTATTAACGACCGGTTTCGAGGATCAAATCCTCATCATCAGGTAAGGTCTAAAAATAGAGAGGAAAAACGAATGAGCTCATAACTAATAAGTGGGTTTAAACATTTTAATATGAAAGTTGTCAAATATCAAGAACTCACCCGTAATTACTCATCTATTTAAGACTAAGCTAGTAGAATTATCCCAGGGTCGGTGTAAAAACAAGTATGCGAGTAATTTTTAAAATACATAAAAAATATAAAAAAAACAATAGTTGCAACAAAAAGTTGATGTCAAAACACATAAACAAAAGTAGGTCTAAAACTATTAATAAAATTATTAAAATATTTCAAAAACGGACGAACAATTAAGACAAACAAATTTAAAAACTTTTTTAAAAAACCCTACAAGCACTAAAATGGGTTCTTGGAAAAGTGTTTATAATTCTACAGGAATTAAATTTTATTTAGATTAATAACTGATTAACGCCCTCAAGATATAAATAGACGAATTAACCATTCTAATATTTAAGATAACAGTTTAGAGGTTGTCAAATTTAAATATTTTGACCATCGGCTAATAGATGGCGTTGGCGAAAAAATAAATGTTTCTTAATAATAATATAGGTTTATAAACTGAATTGTTTGAATTTGTACGTAATAAACAAAATGAAATAAATAAATTATTATTGTTAAAAGTAGAGTCTAGCATTAGCGTTGGAAAATAATTTTAGATGTACTAATATATGTACTAAACTTTCAATCACATCACCTCCCCTTTCTCTTGTTATGTCCAATTTGTCATGCAGAAACAGAAAACCCTATTGTCGGGCCCCCCTTATAACGCTTCCGGGCCCCCATTTGAGCCCGGGCCCCGGGAATTAGTCCCGGCTACCCCTCCCTCTAGTCGGGCCTGTTTACATTTAAAAGTATGTAACTAATTGTTCTTTCTACAAACTCGGCTGTATTTTTACTGAAATATATTTATTCACAATTCACGTAGTGGTTTTGTTTTTGGTTTGGTAATTTGATATAATAATATTAATCTCTTTTATGGTATTGGCATTGGCTTGGTCGGAAAACGGTTAATAAATAATAGTAAATAGTGTAGAGGTCATAATTGCGCAATGTCATCAAATTAATTTCGAATCGATCATGTTGAAACAAATCTTAGGTAAGTAAGTCCTTTAAAAGTTGTAATTCTGTATACGGACTTTAATTATATTTGAATACGACCCTGCTTAGTCAACCATTTAAGCCACGCCCAGTGGGGTCATTTTTAATAAAACGTATCATATGCAAAACAATTGCCTCATGGCATCTCCATTAGTATTATACCTCCATGTAATTAATTTAAATACTATGACATTTTTTTAAGAAATTTGACATAATAAAGTTGAAATTTATATACAAAGTGAACAAAAAGTAACTTAACTTATTATTATGTACACTCCTGATAAGTTTATAAAAAAAGTTTTGATGAAAGTTTCTAGAAATAAATCAAGTAAATAAGAAATACGTAAATATGTAAATAATACAGATCAGTGGGAATACCTCATGGTGGAATACCTAATACTTTTTTGTCAGGAAATTACACTTCTAGACTGTTATTTCTTCTTTTTCTACTTTTAATAGCCGCAGCACACTGTAGGTTTATGGGTGACATTGTATTTCTTTCTTTATGTGTACGTTTACTTATAACAGCCACAGGTTACTGCAGGGTAACAATATTTTTGTGAAGTTATCCAAATAAATTAGTTTGTCGATAATTTGAATGTTTTCTTAAATACAAACAGTTCATCAAGTATTTCGCTTGCGTGTGTAGGTAGCGAAAATATCTAGTCGCATTAAAACTTGTTTGAATTTGATAATGAGATGTAGATTGATCCGTAACATAAAAAATAGCAGGAAGTGTAATCTAATCGAGCCGCAGGCATTGCTCGAATCTGATTTTACTGGAAACTGTACTTTTGTGTTGCTCGAAAAATCATTATAATATTATTATAATCACTTCGATATACCGTTAGGAAATATGCATTTAAATTTCGAATTATCAAAAGAATGTTAGAATGTAAAGTCATTTTATAAATTATGGTGGTTATGTTTAACATATTAAAATATTTATCTTAAAATGATAAACGTACCTGGTAGTCCTCACATATCAAAGTGTCGGGGAAAATGATAATAATGGCAATTACACAGTTGGACTGTTATAAGTTACAGTTTTAACTGTTTTTCTCTTCAAGCCAGATGATATTAAAACTAGCTTAAACAATAATAATTTGCCAATAAAAGATTTAAGATAACTGACACCGATGTAGGTACTTAAATTATTATTTCATAATAAAATTTTATTCCTATACACAGGATACGAACTATTTTTAAACTACCTTATAATTTGATATAAGTATTTACATTTAAGACTAGAAAGAAGTATTGTTTTTTTTTTATCCCGTAATAATAAATGAGCCCTATGGAAGTCCGTCTATAGAGAGAATCAGTAGCGGCTCGTGGGCACTAGCGGCAGTGGGGCACACACTGGAAAGGAATCCCGGAATTCGTTTTTCCCTTAGGAAAACAAGTTCTCCGCTAAATAAAAATTAAATACAGTTCATCAAATTTCTAGAGGCTTTCGACGGCTAGACAGAGAAAGCACTACTGACAGGCATCCCGACGGATTTACGCAATGAAAGTACACTCTGCGCATCAAGTATTTCACTATTTCATTCAGACGTAAAGGTCAGATGTAAATTTCGCTAAAACATTTCTTTTATTTTCGTTTGTGTTTTTTGCTCATTACAGTTTAATAGAACCTAAGTATGGAGTTTAATAGCAAATTAAGAGGCCGCGTGATTAACAGTCAATCTCGCGAAATAATAGCCAATGTTATAGAGTTTATGAGAAGAGAAGGAAACTTTAATTCACCTTCAATACCATTTAAAAATGTAAATGATCGTGTTGCTGCAGCCACAGGAGTATCTAAAAACACTGTCGTCCGCATTTCTGGAGAGAAAAAAAGAATCTATAACCGTGAGATATCGGAATTTTCATCACCAAGAAAAACCATTAAAAAACCAAAAACAGTTAATGATATAGATGAAGCTGCACAAGAATTAAATTTTATTTTTTTATTATTAGATAGCTATTTTTGTTTCTGAATTGTGTTCATTTACAGGCTCAATTTTTTTCCGTTTCTCCTTTTTGATTTTATATGGGGTTTCAAGTGTGTTTTTGACTTATTTCGACGTAAATCACAACAACACACTTTTTTAATAAAGCAAACAAGTGTTAAGAGGTATATGTACGTGTAAACTACAATTACAAAAAATTGATATGAAACCCATGAAACCACCAACAAAAATGTAAAGCTAGCTTCCGTACTAGAACATGGTGTCATTCGTCGAGATAATTTATCGTTTTGTTTAATAGATCAAGAAATGTAAATATTCCCCTGTTATTTTTTATAAAATTATAAGAGAAATAAATTTTTTTCTAAATAGTATAGTTTATTATTTTGTAGAAAAACAAAATTTCGAAAATTTTAGTAATGTTTCAGAAACAACCGTTATTAATAATAGGTACCATTTTCCTTAATAAGGTAGAAATAAAATATAAACTATTTCCACGATTTACAAAGGCCTACAAAAAAATTATAGGTATTTTCCGCTATCCTATAAAATTTATATTTTCTGACTCAATTTCAAAAGGTTGAAGGAATTCCAAAACACCTTTTATGGCATAATAATTATTTTCAATTC